GCAATTTTAGGAACTGAATTCAAGAGAACAGAACATCTGAAAATAATGGGAACTGCAGAAACACAGTAGTTCTATGGAATAAGTCAAAGAATTTCTGGTTTGCAATGCTTATAACAAGGACATTGAGATCTTAAAGAACATTAACCTGTGTTATTTGCACTGCAAAAAGCTAAAGGAAAATGGATTGTGTAAACATGGATTCTGTAAACTAATGGATTCTTTTTTTCATTTTATTAACAATTTGGTCTAGAAAACAGATTAATACTCTATCTTGCAAATAAAAGTGAGAGAATGCTCTTATAGATAAAATTAATTACATTTATTAATTTTCAAAATTCCTTTCCCATTTTCAAGTCATCATCTCACACACCACAAACCTCTTCTCTCTACTGACAGTGGAACTTTGACACTTATGGTCTAAATCTGAAATTGTCTTTGAGAACATAATGTATTATCAGACTATATGAAACGAGCTAATGCACTTCTCTTCCTTGCCTTTTAGTTCTTCATGTGTCAGCCAGAGTGTAATTCATCTACTGATTTCTTTGTGGGAGTCAAGTAACTGAATCACTAAAATTCTGAGCTCCTTTTCAAGCTCTGTCCCTTACTTCCTATGTGACTTCAGACAAGTCACTTAATCTTTCTTTACTCCATTTCCCCCTATAAAAATGGAAGCTGTAAACCATTCCCTTATTTTCCTTCTTTCACAGAGATGACTGCTGTTCTCAAACCCTTACATATTTCCTACTGAAACATGGGCTAACTTAAAATACTGTGCTGCAGACCAAAGGTATGTTCATGTAGAAATACCTGAACTAGCTTTAACGCAGGTATCTGAGGTGTGGCAAACAGTCTAATTATGACTGCATCGAAACAAATCTCCAGGGAAGAGTATGTGAGCCAAAATCTACAGTGCTACAGTTTCACCACTGTAGGTACTCTAGCTAAATTAAACAAAAAATAATACTGATTAGGCCACTACATGTATAAATAAATAGTAAGTATACTGAAATATTAAAAAAAAAAAAGGATTATAATGAAATATTTCTAAGAAGGCTGCAAGAAATACAAGAGAGACCTGATAGAACCAGGTGAATGGACATGAAACAGAACAATGAAAAGCTCCGCTTAAGGATTGTATCTGTAATTAATAACATAGGAATAAATATGAAAAGACTGTACTGTCCTTTCCTCAAATGGTAAGAATGTATCTCCAGCTATTCCTGCCTACATTAGAGGAAACAGAAGTGCATGAAAAGCAAAAAAAAAACAGGTATGTGATAATCAAAGACTGAAAAACCTAGGATTATGTATAGTTCATATGAAAGATACATTATAAGAAAACATATTAATCCACAATATTTAAAAAGTAAAGTGGAATACTTCCATTCTGTTTCTCATAATGATAAAAAGGAACAGCCTCTAAAATAGTTAAATAAGAGAAAAAAGCAAATTAAAATACAACAATTTTGATAGCCTTCAGAGGAATTTCCTGTTGAAAGCTATCCTTCAGGCCAGTAACTAGAAGAGGGTTAATGACTTGTGATAAATTAGGTTGATGATGCTGCTGCTGCTGCTGATGATGATTATTATTATTATCATCATCATCATCATCATTTAGAAAATCAAAATTTAAAGCACATGCTGACTATTTATTGTTAGAGTCAGGAGGACAGGCAATTCTGGAAGTATCTGCCACAGGGTTTTTTTTAAACTTTCCTCTGAGATTTGTGGTAGTAGGCATTGTCAAAACAGAAGGCTATGGCTAAAGACCAGGAAACTCATGTACCATGGTAATGTCTTTACCCTTGATATACAAATACGACTGTAATAAAAATGTTCTTGAGAAAATTATTGTGCAATTTACGTTAAGACAGTGCCATTCTAACAGCAAAATTAGAGAAGAAGGCTGCACATATGAGCAGAATTTCCTTCTAAGGAAAGCTCCAAGGGCAGGGGATAAATTAACTCAGAAGTTACTTCTGGTTCTGCAGATTTTACTAATTAACAAGATCTCTGCATACTGAATTTTCACAGTCAATCTGCTAACATTTCTTTTTTTCTTCCCTTTTTTTTTAATTCTGCTGCATCTGACGCCACAGCTAATCATCAGAACAAAACTTCAATCTACATCTGAGAGTCATGTAGGCTGGTAGGTAATGTACAGCATATTCTAAGAAAATCAACTCCCTTACTCAATTATTTTCTTTACAGCATTTTATCCTCACCTGAGAAAACAGAAAGAGGCCTCTTACCAGGAAACAGAAAGCTGGATTTCCTATGTACTCTGACTGTCAACTCAACGTTCTTATGTTTTCCTTAACTATAAAAATTACTTGTTCTCCTTAGTGATCTTGGCTTGCAAAAAAAGTATCAAGTGTGTCAGACGGTTTAGTGTTGCGCTGAAAATTATCATTTCAAACCTTAAAGTAAAAGGAAATCCAAAGCAATTAGTTATAACTGCATTGTTTCACACCAAATGATATTAAATGGTAAATATCTGAAGTAACAACTAATAACTAAGCTTCCAAAGTGCTGTTTCCATGAAAAATCTGCATGAAAATCCAGTATAAATTCTGATTAATACCTAACCAAGCTAAACACTGCAGATTACATAGATTCCAATTAAATGTGACAAATGAATACTTGACAGATTTCAATTCCAATTCTTTCTGTCAGAATGATCCATTAATATTGGAGATTACATTATCAGAACTCGAACCATACAAACGTGCTTATAATAGTTAAAATACAAGTGGACCTAAGAATCAGATCAAAGAAAACTCTCACGCAGATGTCAGATATTACATATATGAAGGAACAAAAGTACATTTCATCCTGTTCTGTCATTATTTATAGCTTAATCTTAACAGAAAATTTCTGGAGGCAAACGACATACCACTGTTGAAATCTTGGTTTTAAAATGTGACAGCAAAATCTGAAAGTCTGTAAAGTATAATTTTCATCACAATGTCACTCACCTTTAAAAGGTCTCAGTTCAAGGGTTTATAAAGGAGAGGAAATTCCTGATTATTACACGCAAGTCCTGCCATGTGTTTTTTTTTCATGGTAATTTCTTTTCATCCACTTATTCGTGGAATAATATATTTATCTAGCTCCACGTTTCTGTCTATTTTACCTATACAATACTATTTTTAAAACTGAATCCAACAAATTTGTCCTACCAAATATAAAATATCATCTTTCAAAAAATCAAAGTATTGTCTAAAATAGTTTAATTATTAGAATGCAAGGACAGTTTTCACATTAACACAAAACATTAAATAAATAGGATTGCTTTATTTTTTAAAACTCCTCAAGCAGTCTTCCTTTTCAATTAAACTGAAATAAATGTGATGATTTTCACTGGATACCTTATATATTAAAAATTCTATATATTTGTGGCCCTACAGTATGGCTTTCCCAGTAAGGTTCAAGCATACTCCATGTTAGCATGCTTTCTGAACTCAGAATTTAATGTCTAGCAATCTACGACACTGCTATATGTTCAGGAGAATTAACAAATTATTTAGTTTCACTAACCTAACCAGAAAACCTCATTACAAAACAGATAATAAAATAATAATCCAAATTTATGTACAAAGTCTAGAAATTTTTTTCTGATATTTTTCTAGTAATACCAGTATCACTTTCTCCCCTACCATGCACCCAGAAAAAAGAAATGTAAAGAGATATATTCATATAAACAACCAAGGAGAATATATAGACATACACATACACATATATAACCTAATACATCTTCTTTCTAGACAGAGAATAGCATCTTCCTTTTTGGTCAATTAGTCATAAGCTGCTGGGATATACATTATGAGCATATGTAGACTGCTGTAGCCTTTCTTCAGTCGTACATACTAGATTTGGAAGTATCTTACCATGGAGAATAACATACTTTTATTGGGTCAGCATGTCTGTCTTAGGAAAGACAAAAACCCCAAAAAAATTATCCAGTGCTGCAATCTCTGAAAAAATAAAACATGCACTTAACAAAAATAATTCATTCATTCTATAACAGAAAATACACCACCCTTCTTGCATATACCCACCAGTTCCAATTGGATGAGCAAATCCATTGTTTCATTTGTTATCAAATATCTGTACACTTTGACACACGTTAATTTATTTTAGTGTTTATGGGCAAATGAAAACACATTGAAGTCAATGTCTGACTTCATAAGATTTCAGATGAAGGCCAAGAAGTGGAGAACAGTAAAACATTCAGGTTTTATGAAATACATTTCAAACTGAAAAGCTTTTTTTAAAATTATAAATTATATTAGATAGAAAGGAAAACCTGAGATTTAAATTACCTTATTTTTTGATAGCTGGAGAATTACTATAGAATAAATAAAGATTCAGATTTTTCCCCTTCTACATAAATAGACCCTGAATTTAAATGAGATGTTCCAAAAGTACTGTACAAAATAAAGTGTGAAGAAAAGGAAAGTAATGTTATTCTTTGCTAAATAATGAAGAATGGACTTGACACTCAGTGTTATATTGAAAACAGTCTGTATGATATTTGGGGGGGAAAGGAACTTCTCTAGAGTCGGGCTTTTAAGTCCTATGTTCTTTGCTGATACTCTACATATTACACTCTTTGAAATTTCCTAAGTAGTTGTTGAACCAAACATGGAAGGAAAAGAAAACACATGTCCTTTATGGACTTTTATCTAAAACGAAAAGTACAGAATTTAATTCAATTACTATCTCCCTAGCCCTCTACTGGTAATTTTTTCAATGTTTTAACTGCTTCTGCAGTATAGTTTTTAAATCATGTAAAGACAAGAAAGTGCTGGTTTTATTAGTAGTTTTATGTTCCATTATTTTGTATATCTGCATTTTAACAAACTTTAAAATAAAATAATTACAATTTTAACTATTTTATTTATTTATTTATGTATTTGGACTGACCTTTCAAAAGTCTACTTAGTATCGCTTGCTAGTGAGATTATGTGTGTGAATGTCGTGTTTGCCCCTACCATTTTCCATATGCTCTGCCTCACCAACACTGCCATCCGGCGTAGTCCTTTCGTAGTTGTCCTCTGGGAGTGGAAGGGCACCCAGTCTTGGCCCTGATGAACTCTTACTGCTTGGTGTTTCTGACTCCTCCAGACCGCTGTCATAGCAACTCTGCAATGACCCTTGATGCGGGTCCTGAGGCTGACTCACAACAGAAAACGTCACTCTACGAAATGGCTGCAAGAGAAAAGATTCTGAATGTCACTGAAAAGTTCTTTCTTTGAACAACTGATTCTCAAAACATGACTTAAGCAAACTAGTATTTTAACATTTATCAATTAAACAATTTTGGCTAAATTAAGAAAACAGCAAGTACAGTCCTTAAAAGGCCACTGGACAGAGTAGCCTGTGGATTTTTACTGTGATATATGGTCCAGAACCTTCATGCAGTTTTGCATAGCCTCCTTTCAAACGGCTGCATGAGCTAAGAAAACTGGTTTATAATAATTTATATATTCTGTACAGTTACTCTTTTACCCAATAGTAATAATTTGAACGGAGTTTATATTAGACTGCACAAAGGTACTTGACAGTGTGTGCATGTGTATGTGTAAGACTGTGTGGGTGGGTATAAATGTTCACCTGTAAACTATATTGTGGGTATTAACAATGTAGCAGCACACCCGTAAGCCTTTTATAAAATCAGTTTCTGTGGTTTAAAGGGGGGGTGAGGGGGGAAGGGTTCAGTCTTTTAGCTCCTTTGCCATAAAATGCAGTGCCTGGAGAGAGGGTGTGTTGCCAGCTGACTTAATAAAACCTTTAAAGTACTGTGAGCACAGCTGACACCACATGTTTCCACTGGGACTGTACAAACATAGATTGTTAGAGATTTGTATTCATTCAAAATGACAGATATTACTGTTGCTCTGGAAGCCTACACACTGAGCCCTGGCACCCGTGAACAGCCCAGGAAGTGGGACAGTCGATCCTTCATGTTTCAGAGGACGCTGAGGGCAGGCAGAATTTTCAGTAAGAAGCTAGGGTATTCTCCTGTGATTTGAACTACACTCAAGCAGCAATGATGCATTTCAAATAATTTAACAATACATTCGAAATAACTTACTGTTCACAAGGCTAGAAAACCACAAAGAAATATCTGGTGTTCTAGAAAGCACCTTCTAAAACAAACACCAATAGATCCATTTTATAAGACACTATGTAGACTTTGTTATGTTTAAAATGTGAGGTCTGAGAGAGCTGCCCACCTTTGGATTCAGATGCATTTCAAGCCCTATGTTAGAATGAGACACAGGCATACATCACACCACCTGGCACCTCTGGTCACTATACGGTGGAAACATGTATGCAGGCCAGAAGTGAGGAAACAGCAAGTACAACCTCTTACACAAGCCCTGAAGAATAGAAGTCCATGCTAAGTTTACAAGTGGGGGCAGTTTCAGTTAAAATTTTTAAAATTTTTTTTGAGGATACAAAGTTTTGAAGATATAAAGATATTCAGTTCTGAAGGTAAATAGGGTGGACTACAAATATATCACTATATCTTCCTGGCACAAGTAGACTGGAAGTTTATAAATGTGAGTGTGTTGCTAGAAATACGAGAAAATTCTAAGGGAAGAGTCATGGTATTCGCATGGTAATTTTTTGACCGTTCAAGGTTTTCTTCTATTCTTCATCTGCAAAATGCTTTTATACCAAATAAGAGCTTGTATCAAATACAAGGAGAATTGAGGAGCAAAACAAAAGAATATAAACCACAAATAATGCACATTAAATAAGCACATTAAAATAGTTTAGAGCTGTTGCTCCATTCAATAGGGTATAAATAGTAGAAAGCACAGAGAAGGATTAGTACTGCTATGTTAAGACCCTATATCTACAATATACAATTTGAATGTCTTTTCCCCATAGATGCTCAATAAGATCTTTCCCTTCCAGGAGTATTCAGAAGGAATCCCTTTGATGAACTGCACAGGAATTGTGAAAGCTTTCTGACTGGTTCTGAATCATGCAGGAAGAATAAAGCCCTTTTGCAGTAGTCTGTCCTGCAAAACATCTGAGTCATTTGTATTGTATTTTCTTATTTCAATAATAGCTTGTACATTGAGTTTTTGGTAATTTACACGTACGTTAATTCCCTCAGATAAATAACTAAATAAATATAAAGAAAGGTAAAGTGTCTAAGCTATGGTTTTAGATGTAAGAAACCAATTTTCTTTCATCTTTTTTCTTTTTAACTTATGGAAGTAGTGATTTCCCTTCATGTGCTCTCCACAGATGGACTTCTAAGTATATAATAATATGTGAAACAAAGACAATATTTCACATCTCCTAAACAGGCTCGGTGGGTTCTTTCAAATATGACTCTTCTCAGATCACTTCAGAATACTTGCAAGTAGAAGTTAAGGTTTCACTAGTTCGGTAAAGTTTATCATTCTCTTTATACCGACCAAACTCACGGGATCTTTCCACTGTCTTGTCATTGAAGTTATATTTATTTCTTCATATTATAACCATGTCAGATGACCAGCTGCTGTGCCTGCTTACATTAGAAATTAGATACTTTTGTCTGGAAAATATGGATTCACTATTTACTAAGGATGCCAAAGTTCCTAGTACAATCTAAATTGCATTTCTGCTATTATTTGAGGAACACCTCAGGGAACTGCCTAAGGCCATAATAAAAGAATTTCTTTTCACTCACACTTTACTCATTGGTGCAATGCCCATATGTATCCTAAGATGAAGTTTTGCCTCCTATAAGTAGTAGAGCTGACAGAACTTTCTAGTGTGACCACCTGTCTTTCCTGAAGAGCTTGTACTCTAGATGTACGAGTTGTCCCAGCACAGCTCAGTAATTTGAACCATGTCATATTTCTGAGGCCACACACAGAGCTACAGTTCCTCCTAGTTTAAAGGTCTCCTCACCAGCATGCCCAGCCTGGTGGCAAAGATGATGTTGCCAGCTTTGTAAGGTGGACCCTGTCTCTTCTCAGATGTCCTCAGTCCTCCAAAAAGGGTGTCCATTGGTCCAAAAGCAAAATCCCTGTCGAACAGGACCTACCTGCTCCTTCCCAAGCCTTTCACTGTCAAGGCTGAGGAGGCACCATGAAGTCCCTTCACCATCTCTCCTTAGACCTGTGTAGTCACCCTCGATACAGCCAACATCCTCACAGTGCCACTGATGCCCATGTGGATAAGGAGCAGCAGATAATAGTCCAACAAGCGAATAAGCCTCAGGAGTCTGCAAGGCATCCTGCATGTAAGCACCTGGCATGCTGTAAATCCCCCTAAACAGCAGGTCAGGTCAGAAGATGGGGCCTCCATCCCCCTTAGAAGACAGTCTCTCATTCTGATGCTTCCTCAGGCAGAGTTTCTACCCTACTGTCTGTCATCAGGGTGCTGTCCTTATCCTGCAGCTGCAAATCTGCAAGCGAAAAAGTTGTCTGCCCTATGTTACAAGACATCATGAGCCTAGAATCTTCCTTATCTTGGGAGTCTTTCCAGTGAGCACACCCTCTGGTTGTTTCTCCTTCTGTGCAGTCAAGGTGTTCAGGTTGCATGGATGGTATATGGGTACATGTATGGGTAAATGTATGGGTATAAATACTGTACTAGTATGCTAAATAGTATTTAGTGAAAATAAATATATAGGCTTGGAATAGAAGAAATCTGCTTTCAATTAAAATAGCTGGGTATGTAAGGAATATCCATATACTAGTTCTTGATGGTAAACTGTATTTTGCTTTAAAGTAAGTACTAATGTAAATCATACAGCTTATCTTTGAAAAGATATAGTAAAATATATTGTTGTTGAATCACAAAGACAAGCAAGAGTAATTTCTACTTTCTCTCTTTCATTAAATATTTAAGCATACCAGTAAGCATACTTAGTATGTACTATTAAGTACATACATAACGTATACATTTAAGGAAAATAATGGAACAAATGTTCCAGGGTATAAATAAGTGTCAGACTATCAATTTCTATGGTGTTTATTGAAGTTCCATTTTAAGAAGTTGCCTATTACTGAATACTGATGATATCTAATAGATATATTAAAATGGCACCTCAACTTCTGCTTAAGAATTTATCTTTACTAGAGTCCAAGACTGCCACATCACAACTAATCTTACTGACCTCACAAAAACTAACTTTACAAATCCTTTTTCAGATCGGTACTTCAGCTGTGAACTGATTGATCGACCAGAACTTCATGCAATTAAATCCTGTATTCCTTAACAATATGTCAATTATTACTGAGTTCCGGACCAACGATGCAAACTTTGTGCATCTCCCAGAATTTGGATTTACTTAGACTCTGTCCCATAAGCTATTCCTGAATATCATCGTATCTCTCAAGGAAGGCATCAGCTGCTAGGGATACTGTGACTAGTTGAGAAAATATGTAAATTAAGGAAGCAATTCCCATAAATTCCCACAGACTGCTATTTTTTTCTGTTATCAAATCTCCCAGAGGAAACATCAAAATCTACTTTTGAAAGGCCCTATTGACCTGATAATGATATGAGAAGCTGATAACTCTGACTCATAAGGAACCACAGGCCACAGTTTAGCAACTACTTTTAAAAAGATGCTGAGGAGCTTTGGGTACAGATTGCCTGTGAAGCAGTAAAAATAACACCCTATAACTCAGAGCTAAGCTCAATGGAACCTAACTTCAAAATATGAAGACCCTGCCTCTTATTCAGGTTTCTCCTCAAAAAAACACACCTGCAGCTCTGACCATGGATAACTGGAGAGTACAATGCTGAGAGACATCCAGAGACCCTGCAGAGCTCAAGGGTGGGATGCAAAGATTATAGATCATGGTTATCACACACCTACATGTTGGTCCTACTTACACAGTATTCTAAAGTCCGCTTTGGGATAATCTCATTGAAAATTCTCATTAGAGATTTAATCTGAGGAGACAAATATTACCATCCCTTCCCTGCGGTTCTGCTTAAAGGTTTTTAAGGTTTTATGCAATGATTGTGATGAATCTATCCCATCTACTTATCCAGATATAATCACATGCCGGGGATGGCTGTGGCAGAGACATGCTGCACCATAACCACTTTGTATCATCTACAGTTATCACAAGAACAGAGTGATACAACTTAAAACAGGAATTATAAGAAATTATCAAATATTTAAAACTTTCTGTTCCCTTTCCCACTGATTTTTAGAAATCTATCCCAGCTAGATCACAGGTATAGAACACCTGGTTATCATATCTGCA